TTAAATTTTGTCTTCAACCATTGTAAACTTATTTACTTAATTATAAGAATATTTTAAAGTTAGCCAAACATGAACTAGACACTTGTTATGCTGGTCATGGATGGGGAAATACAATCCCTCAGTTTTGACCTTGCGCTTTCTTTTATAATTTTTCCATCAATCGTAGTACTTCATCAAATATCTTCCTTTCAATAAACAATAATAATAATAAAGACAAAAATTATGGATAATTTCGTTTGCATAACTCCACAATATAATGGCAAATATATAATCAAAGAAATATAAACAAACATGTCTACGAGACATCTTCTAAAGGCTACAAGTGCAGAGGTCATATTTTGTTATTGGATCATTTTTGTAGTACATCAAGGGGTACATCATCACAAGATTAATTTCCAAATTTAGCCTCATTTACCACTATTATTTGGAGAAAACAAAGTTTTGAATAGTATTTTTAAAAAAATGTGTGATTAAAAAATATTAAAAAAAAAATTAGAACTTAAGTGTGAAATATTCATTGCGTGAATATGTAGTTAAAAGATAAGTGTAAAAAAAAATTTCAAATAATAGTTGTCAAACTGAGATTTAGTTGAATGTGATTGATACTAATGTGAGACCGCTACTATTTGGGACTAGTTTATAGACTAGCCCCTGTTTAAGCCCCACTTTTTCAAGAGTACATTTTTTCAAAATTCATATTTAACCGTACATTCTCCTATAAAATAATTATACACGTATTTTTTTTAAAAAAAATCTTAATTTTTAACTACGAATTCTTTAAATAATCACTATTCCATAATACTTTTTACCCAAAATGGGGATCAAATAGGGGAATAATAAAAATTATCTCATTAAAGTCTTAAGCTAGAAGGTTACATTTATTTAGCCAAGCCCCTGTTTTGTTTGAGATAAAATCAAAATAAAATTGCAAGACAAAGCCAACAATTATTTTTAATCATATATTTTATAAAATTCATAACTTTTCAACCACACGTTTCATTAACTTTTAGTAGATTCCGCTAAAAATCTGATTTTAAGCTACACCAAACAGGGGCTAAATTTTATTTTTATCACGCCACATGCCGCTCCTCACATTCATTTTCATCAAATATTGACTAGTGCACAAATTTCATATACTAACAACAAAACTTGAATCACTCAGATATGATGTTAAAGATGAACAAAATACACATTTAAATTTTGTCTTCAACCATTGTAAACTTATTTAATTAATTATAAGAATATTTTAAAGTTAGCCAAACATGAACTAGACACTTGTTATGCTGGTCATGGATGGGGAAATAAAATCCCTCAGTTTTGACCTTGCGCTTTCTTTTATAATTTTTCCATCAATCGTAGTACTTCATCAAATATCTTCCTTTCAATAAACAATAATAATAATAAAGACAAAAATTATGGATAATTTTGTTTGCATAACTCCGCAATATAATGGCAAATATATAATCAAAGAAATATAAACAAACATGTCTACGAGACATCTTATAAAGGCTACAAGTGCAGAGGTCATATTTTGTTATTGGATCATTCTTGTGGTACATCAAGGGGTACATCAGGGTGTCCATAATGGACACCCGACGCGCTCCCATTGGTGGGGGCGCTTGTGGGACCGGCTCCCCCACCAATGGGAGTGCGCCGGGTGTCCATTATGGACACCTTGATGTACATCAAGAATTATCCTTTGTTATTTCCATTGTTCCAACAAAGCATAAAACACCAGGCTGATCAGAGAATACATATTCTTAGAGGAAGAATGATTGAGTGCAGGAATACAATGGTAAACCTACTAGAAACATCATTAACTTTCTATGTACAGCTTAGTATGACCTTTAATTCTAGTGTCATCAAGAAAATCGATAAAAGACGACCTTCTTCCCTAAATGAACAAAGACGAGGAGGCACCAATTGAGGATAGATTACGGAAACGTCAAATTAAGTATAGTTAAGACACTTAAAGTCTCATCCTGTAAACCTACTAGAAACATCATTAACTTCCAATGACAGCTTAGAATGACCTTTAATTCTAGTGATATCGAGAAAATCGATAAAAGACAACCTTCGTCACTAAATGAACAAAGACAAGGAAGCGCAACCAATTGAGGATAGATTAAGGAAATGTCAACTCAAGTATAGTTAACACGCTTAAAGTCTCATCCCTTATTAGGGTAACATGATCTCATTGAATCATATTAGAAGATAGGAGGAGGTGGGCCAAAACTACTGTGGCACATTGTAGTTGCTAAGTAACTAAATGCATCAACAAACTAAATCGAGCAACAAAAAACATAATTGTGTCTATAAGTAACATAGCAACGTCTTCAAATAAACTTCCGTTGAGGGTCTCTAAAATTGGTATAATTGAAATCAGAAGATGAAAGCTAAGGAACAAACAATACATTACATTACAATACATGAAACTGAACAAACATTAGGTCAGGGTTCAATAATCGATTCTTGATCTCAAACTCGTAACATAAAGAAGCAAATCGCAGATTTACGACCGTGTGTAATAGTCCATAACAGAATAAAAGTAGCAGTCTTTTTAGATCAATGACATATATATCACATACGAGTGTGACAATAAGAACCTTTTTCGCTTCCCATGCGATCACTATATTATATAAGACAGGAATGCACGTGATCACCCTCTAACAATTAAGGCCCGTTAGAGCCTTTTTGTGTGTGTGTGTGTGTGTGTGTGTATGTAGAATGCATTTTAGAATAGTAGATTGATGGAGAATGTGCTGTTAAAAAATAATGAAAAGTTTTGGACTTACGTGTAATATTATTTTATTGAAAAATGTGATGTTGAAAAGAAAAGAGGAAAAAAATATATTTTGGAAAAAATTGAGATCAAATAAGAGCTTAATCTTAAAACTTTTAAATGAGTAGATTAACATGCAACCACCGCCGCCTTTTTGTGAAATGTTGTGCACATGATGATTAAAGTAAATACAATCTACCCGTGATGATGCATGGGTGTAGTGAAGAGAAGACTTAAAAGGAAACATTGTGACCCTTTAATAGTTTAAGCCGAGCAATTCACTACCATCTTCAAACAATAAACAACGACCCCTCTCACCCTTGTGAGAGTAAAGTGGATAAAACAAACAAGGGTTTTGCCATCAGGATTGAAATGAAATTTCTTAAACTGATCAAGAGTCTAAAGTATAAGCAGCCAGATACAACCCAAAAGCTGTCGATTTACCTAATTTGGAAAGATTGACATGTCTAAAAGCAAAAGCTTCCAAAATCAAGACCAATGATCTCGGAAACCACCCACATCAACTAACGTGATAGCTTACAATTAAAAATTCTCCAAAGGCAACAGCTTTTATGTCTTATTTGAACTGAAACGACTGTTTTCCAGAAGAAATCTGGATCATAATCCTTCTCTATACCATAAAGGCACACTAACTTTCAGTTATAAACCATAAACGAATTTTACCCTCTGTTATAAATCAACCATGGACTGAAACTTATTCCTAATCCACCCACCCACGCACCATAATAATGTTCCTCATTAATTAGTCTCTAATTAATTCCACAACATTGGTCAAAGGTAACAAGATTGCTGTCGGAACAAATAATATACATATGTGGCTTCATGCGTAGTCGATAAATTACATGCATGTTACGTAAAATTGCTTCCCAAATGTAAGTTCAATATGTTTCTTTTCTACTGTCATCCTCGCACCTTGACTACCATGTTGCATCCATGAAATCTTGCAAGATTCGTTTCTATCCACAAAGTTTTGAGAAAGAGTTCAACACATAATGGCATTAAAAACACACAAGCCTTTGTGATCATAAATTTGCCCATTTAGACAAACAGTTTAGGAACCCTAAAATTTGGAGGAAATTGGGAGACTGGATTTTCGAAATTCAGTCCCATTAAAGTGTTTTATTTTAAAGGAACATAATTTCAAGTCACGTTTGGGAAGGTTGATTTATGCAGTACGATCTTATTAGTTTTATTGATTAGGGACAAATAGGAACATTATTCTGGGTTTGATAGGATATTTGATTGTTAGCGGCTGGGAATAAATACGAGTTCGATGATGGATTTGGACTAAGAGGGCAACAGGGTAAAGTTCATGGACTCGTCTTTAACCCCCATGAAATTTCAGCTAATTAATTCAAAGACACATCAGATATGGACCTCAACTCTTCAAGTTAACAGAAGGAAAGCTGCAAATTACATGATTATTTCAGTGTTAGAAATTTACATTCCTAAAAAATAAGAAAACCTTTTAGAAAGGTAACCAAACATGCCTACTTCAAAAAATTAAGTTCTCGGTGGGAAAACAAAAACCTGATTGGTGCACAACAGGTTCAAAACTGGGTTGTGGGTTGTAAGTAGGATATCCAGTCCCACTTTTACATTCAAGTCGGATAACAGGAAAGGAAAAAATGAGCCGAGGCCAGGAACTTCAATACCTGAGGAAAGAAAAGTCCAAACTACCACAGGGAATGAAAAGAGTCGATTAAACACCAATTTAATTTGGGATAGGGTTCAAAACTGGGTTTGTGTCAAAGTTTGAACCTATAACTTGGGTGGTATACAAATTTGAACCTAGAACATTTGCAATGAGAATTAAACTTAGAGAGGTGCTACTTGTACATTATGGATGTCATAAAGGCATCCATAATGCACAAGTAGATAAATTCTTAAACTTAAGACATTTATTCTTGAACCAGTCAATCTATAAGCTTGAAGCTAATTATTTCAAATTTATATTCAACACATTATTGGCGATGGCGAATTCCAGCAACATTAGCTCAGAGGATGAAAATTAAACAGCTGTCTCATAAGTTGCATAGTCATAAAAACATAAGTTGAAAAACCTAATCAGAAATGTGATTTACATGGAATACTAGAGCGTCAAGAAAGCCTAACCTTGATTATTGATTCCTAGAGGGTCACAGAATCTACCATGTATTAACGATTTGCTCTCGCCTATCCACCATTTTAATAGTACTCAATAAGAAGGTGGAGGACGTGGTGGAGCCCAGAATACATCTGGCGGCATCTGGCCGTTGGGCAGCAAACTCGGTGGCAGATTATAGAAAGGCATGGAGGATGATGGCGGATCAGCCGCCAAGCCTTGTGCCTGAGATCCTGTAGCGCCACCAGTTGTTCCAGTATTAACTTCTGAAGTTGGCTGCAATTGCGTTCCTTCACTGGTCGCCACAGGCTCCTCCTCCATAGGCAATCTTTCATACGTTGCATTTGTAAATGTGGCAGCAATTACCATCACGGGACCTGACGCCGTCAATGCACCAACCACAGTGCCGCCTACCACCTGGCCCTGATGACCTGCCAAATACACCGTGAGTCCGTTGGCTCCTGGCGGAGATGGTGCAGGCAAGAACGCCCCGGATAACGACAATACCTCAAATCGACCTTGAAGCGGTATCACGCCGCCGGGTGCAGCTGGCTGGCGCAATGTCACATTGGTCACAATTCCACTGCCATTCAAAATCGAGACACCGCATCGGCGGCTCTGTGCGAAGGTTGAAATCGTCTCTGCAATGTCGCTGCCACTGCTGATTTCCAAGACATGACTTCGAATCGCATTAGGACTATCTTTTGTTATCACAATTGGAGGTTTGGGCTTGTTCTTGGACCCAGGTGGTCTGCCTCTAGGCCGGCGTCCGCCCGAGCCACTCCGGTCTGACATTTCGAGGTCTCCAGCTGGGTTCTGACTACCTTCAGCTTCATGCTCGTTATCTCGGTTATCTCCATCTTCAGGGTTTTGGTTGGTGGAGCTAGGGTTTAGATTTGTATTGGTATTGCTCCCACTGCTATTTGATGCATTGGTGGTTGTTTCCATGAACTCTTGTTCTCTCCTCCGCTGTCCACGGCGGTTCAATCCAGCGTTTGCATCTTCATCAGGGTTTCTTAGGTGGAGAGATGGAGGAGTTAGTGACATAGGATTCATCGCCGCATTTTCGGCCCACCACCTACTCGTCATTCCCTTTTCAACTAAACTGTTTCTCTTTAAAAGGCACTAAAATCAAATCACTCTTGAATGCACCAACCAGCAACCTTCCGTTACATTGGGTAGTAGAAACAGAAATCACAATGCAAAGGTTATGAATAGGTTAATTCCTTGTTCCTTGTTTGATATATCCTAGAATGAGATCTAAACAAGACAAGACCCAAAGTTGACAGACAGCCAAACCATCCAAAATTTGCAAAAAAACCTAAAGTGAAAACATGGTATTTTCTTCTCTAAGTAAAAATCCACAGAAGTTGAAGAAACCCCAGATCTATGAACAAAAGGTTTTATTTAAACGGACAACGAATTATCCGGATGGCGATCTGAAATCAAAACACTTCCAAAATGTTTTTTAGCCAGGAAAACCCAAACTTAGAATTGTTGACCTTGTAGATAATCAAGTACATAGGAGGGTATACATAGTACAAGTACAGACCTTTTTTTCTGTTCCGAACAAAGATATGGAAGAAAATAGTTTTGAGTACCTTGGTTTGTACGGGCTAGGGTTCGGGTCATGTCCTTCGTTATGAGGTTCTTCGGTTTCTCTGTACCTGAAGTATACAGCGGATGTGTATAAACAGTAGAGCCTTGCCCAAGCGGGGCATACGATAAGAACTGAAGGTTGATTATTACAAACTACACATCTACTGTTTGGCCGGTTTTGAAAGATCTGGTTTTTCTTTTGCTGTTAACCGGTTCGAAACCCTCATCACCCCCATCGCCCACCTCTTTTTTATCTATTTCTTTTCTTTTCTTTAAATTTTTGAGTCCTTAAATTTCTCTTTCATTCCTCTTTGTGAAGTCTATAGAATTTTGTTGGAGAGTTCCTTTTGTTCTTGTTTCCACTGCGAGGTTGCCTACAAAAGATGAACATATGAACTGCACCGAACAAGGGATAAAGATAAACATGTTCATTCCATCAAGGCTAGACAATTAAAGGGCGAGCAAAAGTCTTGCATATATTAGACATTAGATGGTGATGAATCTATAAATGAATACAAGAAAAAGTCTCGTACGTATTGATTAAGTTAAAATAAAAATAAATTAAAGATTAAAGGATGAACCGCATCCTTAGTTTGAATGAAAATTAAGATAATATGTTACTTTGTTTGAATGAACATAAGTTTTGATGTCTATTACATATGTATATCTTATTGAAATTAAAAGGACATTATACTACTTTATATCTTATCAATTGATAAAATACTTGTCTGAAATAGATTAAATTTAAATATATGGAAAAATAAAATTTAGAAAAACATAATTAGAGAGATTTTGATATTATTCCCCAGTTTGACAACCATTAAAATGAATTTTTTAAATAAATAAATAAATTTTGGAATGTTGATTTTTTAAGAATGTGTAGTTAAAAACAAAAACTTAGTTATTAACAAAATATTTTATTGTGGAAATATTTAATTGAAAATGAATTTGAGAAAAAAAAAACTTTATTTAATTATTGTCAAACGGGGCTATATTACTTAGTATATTAAGTCTCTGTTTGACAAACATAGTTTTTTTCTTTTTTTGAAGAAAATGAGTTTTAGAATATTAATTTCTTAGAAAATATATGGTTAGAAAGTAGAAAAAAAGTTTTGAATTTATGTGCAAAATATTTTATTATGTATGTATGATTGAAAATGATTTTTTTTAAAAAAAATTTAAAACATTGATGACAAATATGTGCCAGAATGCCATGCCAAATAAGATTTTTGCCATTTGTTTAGGGGAAATGCACCGAGATTTTACAAATGCTGAGATTGCAACACGTTTATGTTTTTTTTTTTGGCCCAACACTTATAATAAAAAGATGTCAAGCGGAATTCTGTACATTTCCCTGTAAAACTTCCCTGTACACATGTATTGTTCTCTAAATAATTTTGAAATAGTCCATGTTTATCTTTCATTTTTTCAATTTATTTTTCTAAATACTCATTTTTAATTACATATTTATACAATAATATGTCATATATGTAAATTTTAAATTTTTCTTTATTTTTTAATTATACATCCTTCGAAATATTACTATTTAAAACGATAATATATAAAAGGCCATCAAAACGGGCTTAATAATACTCTCAAGTCATTCTTCTGAAGGGAGAGATATAGGGAAGGGGGGATGTAGGTAGGAGCATGGAATAACGTGCACATGAGGGGGTCGACTGACAACGCAACATGTCAACTATCGGATGTCCCGACAAAAGTACGAATGCCAATGTCTGAATTCTGATAAAAACATTTTGCAATTTTCTAGAAAAATAATATATTAAGGGTGAGTTCAGTAGAGCAGTCCTGCCGTATGGGTTCCACTGTCATACAATTTATTCATTTTTTTTCTATTTATTTCATCTGTTTTATTTATGAATTACTGAATGAGACCATGACAAATAAATTTGAAGCCCACTAATGTTCTAAAAAGCGACATCTAAGCACATTTAGAAGTCGTCTAGGCACGAAGCGGGAGTAGAACGTCTCATTTTGTGTTTTTTTTTTGCACTTTTTCAATTTTTTTCGCATCTAGCAGTGGCTAGCTTCTACACTTTTTAACATTAAGAGCTTGTTTGGTAGATATTAAAATTGAAAAACTAGTCGTTATTGTTAACTTTTATTATATGTGCCCCAATAACGACTATTTTTTCAATTTTAATTGGATTTTAATTGCTACCAAACAAGCTCTTACACTTGTTTATATCGAAATTTTGCATCCACGCTTCGTCACGATTTATATTTTTTAAAACATTGATTATAAGTCGATTGGAAATAATCCATCCAAAAAATTCATACAAGTTTTGTTCCATTTCAGGTGGTTCTAGATCTATTTTCGACTATCATTTAATTAAAAATTATTAATAAATTTTGATAAAAGATGATAAAATATGCGATTGAAAAAAATTGAGAAAAATTGTGAATTTTATGAGATGTATTATTGAAAATTAATTTTAAAAATATTTTTAAAAAATAGAGATCAACTGCATTAAATTTTTGGCGATGGGCACACATTCGTTTCTGTAAATTCCTTTCCCATACATTCAAGAATCTATCGACAGACAGCGTCAAAATGTCTCACCAGTTATCGCCCTTTCTTTCTACTTTCTAGCAAAAAGAAGTAAATAAATAAATAATTTTTTTTTTAAAAGTATGTTTGAGTTGAAAGGCGCTGTCAATGGTCAATCTGTTCAAAATTAACCACAAGCCCGTCAAAGACAATAAATACAAGGCAGATACAATAGAGAAGATGTTTGAGTCTCATCATCTAAGGATTGATTTATTTCCAAACTCATTTTCATAAATACATTGTTTCAATAAAATATTTTATATTAAATCAAAATTTTCCTCCTAAGGTACGTTTGATTGTAAATGTGAAATTTTGGTGGAAAGAAAATAAATTATAGGGAATTGAATTATCTAGAATTTGTTTTATTGAGAATTATAATTAATTGTGTTTGATTAGTATAATTTTCCACCTGAAAAATATTGAAAGTTTGTTGTCCGTTTGACTTTATTTTGATAGAAATTGTACAGTAAAGTGATAATTATTTTTATCATTGGATCTAGAATTTGTACTAATTACCAAAAAAATTATAAAAAAATTATCATACCAAATATCATTCGTTTAACTTTGTTTTGCATGAAAATTGTCAATAAAAGTTATACATTTTTTTGGGAAAATTAGACCAAGTAATCTGAAAATTGAAAGTATTAGATTAATGCCCTAAATAAAAATTAAACTTCTTACAAACCGTATTATTTACGTCCTTACTAAAACCCCCAAACCTCAACCCGCTCCCACATCTCTCATTATAGAACATCATCTCTCTCTCTCTCCCACATCTCTCATTTCAGAACCCCCATCTCTGTCGTCCTCGCAGCTCCTTAAACATTGAACCCTAAAAGCCCCAAATCGCAATCGCAAAAACTCTCACCCGATTCCTACTCCGATATCAAAAACTTCGACTCTGAATTCTGTGAAAAAAGTGGGTTGAAGAGTAAAATAATTGTTGATAAACAACCATCTTCAAAGAAGAAGAAAAAAATTTCTTCAAAACTTTATAAGGAATTCTGTTGTTTATTCCATTTTCAGTCATTAAGGAACCGAATTTCTGTTTTCGGCACAAATGAGACTATTATTTCTACTTTTGTTAAAGATGAAAGGCAAGTATCTAGAGCTTAATATCCTTCTTGATATTTTCTTCTCTTCATTTGGTTATTTTAATGTGGATTTGACTGCTATTTCCAAGTGCATTGTGTGAGTGATGCCGTGAAAATGGATTTCTCAAAAAAAAAAAAAAAATTGGACTTCAAACTACCCTGCAAAAATCAGAAGTTAAGAAAAGATAATTAGAAAAATACGTACTTCAGTAGAAGGGTTAATTGCAGAGGAACAATGGAAGTAATGGAATTGCAGAAGGGTTAATTATCAAATTATGAACTTCTCCTATGGATTGAACATTCAGAATTTCAAAGTTTTCTTAGTTTTTGGTGGGTATTGGAGAAAGTAGGCAGAAATGGTTTTGGAGCCTTAGATATTGAAGTGGTGGTGGTGAAGAAGGTGGAGTGTTAGAAGTTGTATAAAATGATATAATTTAAGATCTTGACTAATATTTTGTCACTTTTTTTTAATTTTTGTCAATTTTTTTAATGGTATTTGTCACTTTCTTGAATATGTTCGTTTTTGAGTTCGTTTTTCTTCTGTTTTATGTGTATAGTTTTTTGTGCTTAGGCTTTGGTCTGCTGGTAGTAATAGTGGTTGCGAGGGAGAAAGCGGGTGAATAACGTTGTGTCGTTGGTTGAGTTGGTAGGTGGTGGTGGTGGTTATGAATCGATTTAAAAATGCTTGACATTTTGATTGTGGTTTGTCAGTGAACTAACTTAAAGATGCTCGGTGGTGAACGAATAAAGAGAATGAATCACAATCATGCAACAAATGTCACTTTATTAAA